GTCTACCAATGCTAACAATTCCTGCCACTCAGTCGACCTTAACATTGTCTCATCTGTTGTCTCCAACGTCTCTGCTTCTTCAGACGCATCCTCAGGCTCCACTATAAAAACACTACCTCATTCATCCTCCTCAACCAAAATCACCATCCATGGTTACGTTAGCGGACCACCTGCCTCTATCTCTAACGACAACACCCTCAAACACCCACACAAGCGCAGCAATAGTAACAGCAAGAGCACACAGAAAGAATCTGTCCTACTAACATTGCACCCACAATCTCACAGCATCGCATCTGAGTGGCTGGATGGGTTACTGATGCTCTTAAATCAGCAGCCCATCACTGCAGAGACGAATAAGCTGATCAATCTGGTCAGTAATTACGGTTTGAAGATTCGATTGTTGAATGTTAGGTTTGATGATGCGACGTTTGTTGGGGACTCGCCGGAAATTCCGAGCCGGGAAGGATTGGATGACGATTATTATTATGATGTTTTTGGTGGTAATTGAGTTGAGAGTTTCGGATTTTGGATTTGATGGGGTTTTGGGACAGAGATTTCTTTGTATTTGAAGTGGTTCTCGTTTTCTCCCCGCCCCATTTTTCCTCCCTCTTACTATATATACTATTGTTTGAGGGAAGCGGGATTTTGCTTTGCATTTTCGGACATCTATATTATATTAATATGCAAGGATTTTTTTTTTTTTTTTTTTTTTTTTGATATCTAGCCTGCCCCTGCCCCTGCCCCTGCCCCACCGCAACATATGTTATTTATTCTCGGTGCTGGATTGGTACTTTGATTCATATTCTCTCGAGTGGTGCTTGTTATTGTTTGCTCTTGTACATATGTAGAAAGTAATTGTATACGCCGTTAGTGATTACTTACAGCAAAACGCCAACGTCACGTTACCCCCAAGATATGTTCCTGAAGATCAAACAACCAAAGGAACGGCTTCCAACTCGACTTCAAACAACCCATTAATGCCACCTTAAAGACGCATATACACCGCCAATTAAAAATTACATAAATACTTTAATTTACTATGGGAATAACACCACCCCCCAATTATTAACCATGACCCTAGGGTTCAATTGGGACCGAACGCATCATTACAGTCGCTCGCGGGCACCATGTCCACCCGTCGAGCCGCAAAGCGGCAGCGGAGACTCGTAGTCCTCTCGTCAGAGGATGAGGGGGATAGTAATGAGACTGAAATGACTAGGAATACGGAAAGCGAAACCGAAGGTGCGGATGAGAGGGGATATGTGGAGTCAAAGGATCCCACGAGCTTGGAAAGAGTACTACCCCGCGGGACAAAGAGGAAGAATACACCCATATTGAATGGTGCTGCTGTAATTCCGTTGACAACAAGGGTGTCTACGGCTACAACTACAGCAACAGTTACGGCTCAGTCGCGTACAATTATTCTTCCTACACGGCCATCTCAAAAGCCAAGACAGAAGCAAACACAGACGCAGCTGCCATGTACGCCCCAGAAACGACGACGGACCCAGACACGCTCAATGCAGATGACACCTGGCTCACATCCTGAGAAGAAGAGGAAGAGGAAGCTAGTTAATAGGCAGTCAGAGTCGCCCTCTAAATCGTTGCATTCGTTCTTTGCGAGGGCGACGGATGAGGAGAGATGGAGTAGGAAGCTGGAGAAGGATTATGCGAACGTCGAGGTGAGAAAGAGTTTTAAAGAGGAAATGGATACGGTGGATGAGATAGAAGAAGAAGAAGAAGAAGAAGAAGAAGAAGTGGAGGAGGAGGAGATCAAGGAGGACTTTATTGGCGATGATTCGTGTGAGGAAATATTTACTAGCCAAATTCTTGGTGGTGGATATGGTGGCGGGAATTCGGTGCAGGCCCAAGAGTTTAATAATACGAGCTCTCAGCTAGATCGGAGGAAAGAAAAGGGAATTAAGAGTGAGCATCAGGGAGCTGCGGCGAAGTCCCTGAAGAGACCTGCAAAGAGGTTTTTGCTGTTGCCCGAGAGCTTGCCTGCTGGGCCGGGTCCTGGAAACATTGGCGGTCAGGGACCTGGGCGGACTCGAGAATTACGTTCATCTGATACGTTGCCTCCGCGAGGAATACGGCCTTGGGCGGAGGAATATGCGCCAGTTAATCTTGATGAGTTGGTGGTTAATAAGAGGAAGGTCGGGGAAGTTCAGAAGTGGTTAATGGATGCGTTTACTGGGAGGAGCAAACGAGTTGAGTGCCACTTCCCCTAACCCGCCCGCGCTCCTCCTCCCTTTTGTCTTTCTGACACCAAATACTGCAACTGGCTTTTTCTCAATTATGCTGATTGGGGTAGAGAGTTCTTGTTCTCAGGGGCCCAGCTGGCAGCGGGAAGTCAACTACGATATCACTACTATCTAAGGCCATTGGATTCGAAATCCTAGAGTGGAAGAACCCATTGGGATCCGAGTTTTTATCTCAACAATATGCATCCATGGGCGCTCAGTTCGAGGACTTTCTCGGGCGAGGAGATAAGTTTGGAAGTCTTACTCTGGCCGCCGCCGGGCAAAATAAAGCAAAAGAGCCTATGACGAATGGGCAAACACATTCCTTCAATATAAGGGAAACTAGACGTGTGATTCTTATTGAGGAGTTTCCAAGCTCGTTGAGCCAAACTTCTTCAGGTCTTCGGACGTTCAGACTTGCAATACAACGGTATTTGGCCATGGCGGTTCCTTCACAGTCGATTGGCAACCGATTAAGGTGGAATACTCCTTTAACCGGCCCACCCTTGATTATGATTGTGTCAGAAACCATGTTAGGGTCCGGAGGCATATCAGCTGATAGTTTTACTGTCCATAGATTATTGGGCCCCGAACTTTCAAACCATCCGGGAACTAGCATCATTGACTTTAACAAGATAGCACCTACTTTTATGACCAAAGCGCTCGACTTGGTCCTGAGAAAGGAAGCGCGTCGATCGAAGAGAAAGCGAATTCCTGGCCCCGTTGTTTTGAAGGCTTTTGCAGAAATGGGAGATGTGAGGAGTGCTATATCTGGATTGGAGTTCATGTGTCTTCGTGGTGATGAAAACGGAGGGTGGAGCGGGACTGTCGCTGGCCGGATGAAAAAATCTGGTAAAGGTCGTGTGCCACTAACCTCTATTGAGAAAGAGTCGCTAGAAATAGTTACTCAAAGGGAAGCTAGTCTCGGTATTTTCCACGCAGTTGGTAGAGTGGTGTACAATAAACGTGAAGATCCTACGATAACCCTGGGTTTCAATGCCAAACCCCCTCAGCCTCCAAAACACCTTCAACATCATGCACGCCCGAAAGTATCAGAGGTTTCGATCGATAATTTGATCAATGAGACAGGGACAGACCTGGAAACGTTCATTGCCGCGTTGCATGAGAATTATGTACTCTCTTGCACCGGCCCGTCGTTTACCGAGTATTTCGAAAACTGCATTTCGATCCTGTCAGACACGGATATTCTGGCGCCCGATGGCCTATTTCACAACCTGCAGAAAAATCGAGGCGGAATCGGTTCAGCCCGCTTGTCCTACCAAGGATACGGTGCCACCATCGACATGCTTCGTCAGGATGAAATTAGTTTCCAAGTTGCTGTGCGGGGATTGCTATTTTCATTACCATTTCCTGTCAGAAGACAGGCTCCTGCCGGCTGCCGGACGGGCGATGCTTACAAGATGTTTTTCCCGACATCGATGCGGCTTTGGAGGCAAACTGAAGAGATGGACGGGTTGCTGGATTTGTGGCTACATCGTCTCACAGATCCTACCATGGATATTTCTTCCAGAACTACCATCCAACGACTGGAGGGTGTAGAGTCGTGGAAGAATCGCAGTTCGATGTCTGGTTTTTCTAGCCACAACAACAATCATGAGTCCTCCAGCGATGCATCCTCATCCGCGGCGACCAGAGCCATGATCTCTCGGGACGAAGTCCTTCTCGAACGCTTGCCGTATTTGAGCCTCATATCTCGAAGCCCCGCCGAAATCCAGGAGTTGGAAAAAATTACACAGTTCCGTGGAGTCAGCGGACAGAGTGATGAAGAGCCTGGCGATGTCGATTTTGAAGACTATACCTTTGGAGGATGTTCCGCCATGGAACTTTGGAGTGCAACTGCTGATAGAGCTGTCGCTTCGCCGCAGAAACGGAAGCGGGGGGCCAAGCTGGGACAGCTATCTTTGAGCAACTCCTTTGCCCCAAAGCTTCTCCTTCCTGTTGAGAAGGCGGTTGAGAAGCTGATCCTCAGTGATGATGACATTGAAGATGATTGACCAGGTTTAGTTTTCTTGTTTCTTATACCTTTTCACTTTTTATTATGGCGTTGGAAATTATCTTCCAAAGTAGGGTTGTTCCTTTCTAGTTTTCTTTTCTTTCCTTTTCTTCCTTTCCGGATATGCAGGCATTCACATTCGAATAAGGGGCATATATAGGATCTTTGTGAATTATAAGCGTGAATATGGGGTTCTAAATATATAAGATACAGTCTATTGTTCACTTGCAAGGAGCAATTGATAGCTTTTGGTATTACTCCAACCACCAGCACATGTTTTAAAAAATGTATATCTCCTTAAAAATGGCTAAATAAATAATTAATTATTACATATCGGGTGTGCGATGGTTGGTTTTTGTCCTGGACATTAACCTTTTTGTTGGCAAGGTTTTTGCTTAAGCAAAATTAACCGCATACTGAGGTTCAACTAAGCTCGCGGAACTAGCGCCAAAAATAGCCTAAATAATTAACTTCACCTCCCAATCCAATCCAACCTCTCTCAAGCTCCAACACAGACAAGAATACACCCAAAACTGAGCTAACAATTGCTCAATTGAGGTTGACCCATATATAAGTGTCGTGGGATAGGCCTGGTGTGAAAGGTGAGAGTTTCATTTGCCATCATACATTACCACAGTCTGCTCCACACGTCACACTGCCTTCGCTACGGGAGGGAGACTGATGCATTTTCCCTGAGGTTAAACAAGACAATCCGTTGCCTGCACAAAGGGTTAAAAAAAGCAATGGCTGATCCGCTGAAACCACGACGGTGGGGGGTTAATGCTGGGACTTTGGATTTAACCAATGGCTCATTCACTCCAACGGATTCTGGAGGTGAGGCACGGAAGGTCATAAGGGGCGAAACTGTGGAACAGGACAAGAGTGATCGGAGCGATGGCGTTGCGGCTGCAACCGTTCAAGCGACATTGCCTTCATGGGCGAATATTGGCATGGTGGTGGCGTTGATATTTGGTGGATGCTGTTCGAATGTTAGTTGTGAATATATCTGTTCCCCTTCTTTTTGTTTGCTGTGAGCGATGCTAACGAGGTATTTGGTACAGGTATTCGCTTTGGAAGCTATTATCAAGTGAGTCCCATCATGATAATGAGGTGTGGTATCTATGCTCTGGGTTGATATACTAAATGAAAATGGCGCCTGATGAAGTGACAATCCGGATTTTGGTATGGGATTGATTATATTACTCCTTATGAAATATATGTGTGGATAATTATCTAATGCTACACTGCGCTCATCTTAGGTGCCCTCATTACGTTAACGCAATTCATCTTCACCTCGCTCTTCACCCTTCCTCATCTCCTCTCATTCTCTGCGGGCCCACGGGCGTTTTTCCTCGCACCCAGGGCAATTCCCTTAAAGTCGTGGATGATATACACGTCATTCTACCTCACAGTAAACGTCCTCAACAACATTGCCTTTGCCTTCAAAATCTCCGTACCACTTCACATCATTATTCGTAGTGGTGGTCCCGTGGCCTCCATTATCATTGGTCACTTTTATAGTTCCAAGAGCTACACACGGACTCAGGTCCTGGCAGTGCTCCTTCTTACCGCTGGCGTCGTGGGAGCTGCTCTGGCCGATGCCAGTGCCAAAGGAAAATCCATGGATATGGGGTTCAGCGCAAGAGAGAAAGATCTGCCGTCCTTTTTCACGTCGTTAGTCGCGTTTACCCTCCTTGGAGTTGCGATGGTCCTCGGGGCGTTCCAAGGCGTTTACGCAGACCACTTGTATGAATCTCATGGTCGCAACCACTGGCGTGAAGCCCTCTTCTATGCGCATACTCTTTCCCTGCCATTCTTCATTCCTTCCTATTCAAAACTTCTCACTCAATTGAAGTCACTATTTGCCTCTCCGTCCGTTTTGTCTCTTCTCTCCACACCACCCGTCATCTCAAACACCACCTCCAGAGTTTTAGGACAACAGTCCTCTAGTACAACAACAGCTACACCTTCCTGCTTCTCCTCTGTCTATAGCTTTCTAAACTCGTCAATTTCCCATCTCCCCGCACATTCGCTCTTCTTCCAGGTCCTTTCAAAAACACCCATAAAGATCCTATATCTAATCCTTAACGGCCTAACGCAGTACATCTGTATCCGTGGGGTGCATTCATTATCTGCAAAGTCCTCATCTCTAACAGTGACCGTTGTACTGAATATTCGGAAATTGATCTCGTTGATTCTCTCAGTGTATCTGTTTGGGAACGTCTTAGTGGGCGGCGTGTTAGTGGGGGCTGTACTGGTATTCGTTGGAGGGGGATTGTATGGCTATGAGGGAGCGAGATTGAGAAGGGGGGCCCAGGCGAGAGTGAAAAGAGAGTAACGAATACATTTCACTTGTAACTTTTTGGTGTCTGCCTTGTGTTTCTTGGATCATTTGGGCGATACGTTCTCTTCCGGATAAACAAGCTTTTTGGCATCTGTTTCGAGGAGATCCCCCTTCGGGCGGATAATACGTTCATGGAATTTTTGACCCCGAAAAAGGAGTTTTATTATATTATGTTCTTAGTGGAGTTCCCTTAGTTACCTATAGTTTTATACGTTTCACAAATGAGACGCGTATATAGAGTCTATTGTATAGACGTCAGTAGAGTCAAAACTCGTTCTAACTTCTACTTAACAGGTGCATGCCGGATGGAAAGGGGTTTGCTTCGATTCCTACAGTTCGAATTTCATGCTGTTACAGGTTTATGGAGCTGGCTCTCCTTAATTCATTTGCTGTCAGCAAAAGAGACGCTAATTTTAAGGAAATGGAGGTCCCAACCAAAACTTCCCTCCCCTTTCATTCATTCAACACCAGATTTATTTACATACATACAAGAAATCACAGGACAAAAGCGAAAAAAGAACAAATAAAAAAAATATAACAAAGGGGGAAAATCTAACGTAAACAAATCCAACCCATCCTTGCCTCGTCTTGCATCGCTTCTTACTTCCTTCCAATCGCAATCTATTCTTTTCTTGTCTTTAACATTCTGTCTTTGTTGTAAAGCCCACTGTCGCTTGCTATACCAACTAAACCCAGAAGCACCAGCGTCGCTCTAAATGTATCTTATGGTGATGATAGAATAATGATGTTGTGTTGGCTTCATCAAGCGTTGCGTCGACCACCTGGGGGCTTGCCTTACCATACTTGCCACCCACTGAGCAAAAAGGATCATAATGAGGGAAAAGGAGATAAGGATGTGCGTGTAGACGTTGAAAATGATGTGGGCGGTGCAATGAAAAACAAAATACAAAAGGAAGCATGGTTGCATGCAATATATGAATCAGATAATAATAGCCATGAAAAAATGAAGATAGTAATCCTACAATACCTCCCCAACAATCTTTGCTGCCTCCTTATACGTGCCCAGAAGCTTCTCACACTTCTCGCGTTCTGCCTTGATCCCGTCGTCCTCGTATAGGAGTTCGGGGAACAGGTCTTCTTTGTACAGTTCACTAACGAGCCGGTTCTGGACTACTTCTTTGCTGTGGTTGACGAGCAGATGCATGATGGCCTTGGGCACTTGATCCGCGATGGTTTCGCGGACGATGTTGAAGTAGGAAGAAATTAGGTTGCGGATTAGCTCCGTTTCGAGAGCTTCGCGGTCTGTGAGTGCGGGTTCAACGTGATCATTCTGGAGGACAGATTAGGTTATTATTATTGGTGTTCTTGTATTTGATTTGAATTCGATGGGTTTCATAGACTTACGGGGAATGCGGTATCACCATATTCTGACGGCGCCGGGTATTCGCTATCCTGTGGGTATTGCGACAAAGCGGGGGATTTGACTTCGTTGCGTCGGAAACTTTGACTGAAACTTGGCTCTGTGGAATGGTTAACATGACGGGCTTGTCCGGACGTCACTTGTGGCAGTTGTCCTTGACTGGGTGCGGTCCCCTCCTTGCCAAAGAAGTAGTTGAGGAATGAATCTCTTGCGCTTCCAGCTGATTGAGACCCAAAACCTTGTGAAGAAGACTGAGGTCCATTAACTGTGGCAGCAAGTGCAGAATGGCCGTTTTCTATAGCGCGACCAACATGGGGAGATCTGCTTCTGTGACTTTTCTGCCCTCGGATGGGTATAGCTTGTACCTTATCCTCCGCATCATGCTCTTCTTCGCCCTCAGGAGTCGCGGTTCCATTTACGGTCCCCAGTTCTTTCAATCGTCGCCGTTCTCGTTTCCGTCGCTCCTCGGCTAGTGCGGCTTTTCTTTCTTGTTCTTGCTTGTTCTGAATTACAGACGACATGGCAGCAGCGGCACCAAGAAAGTTAGGGTGATTAGTATTGATATATGCACGCTGGATGGAGATGAGTGATTCAACATATGCCGAGCAGGGGCCTAGTCGTTCTCTCAGGAGATCGGAGACGACTTCAATGAGTTTAGCCTGCAGGCGAGGAAATCGGGAAAGCTCTGTGGATCCACAGGTATGGCATATTTTGATCAGCTCTTCATAGACGAGCTCGACACAACGTTGGCTGGGGATTTCAAGGAGCTTTATTTGAGGCTTAACCAATAAATCAAAGGCCATTTCCGGGACGAAAAGGCTAGGGCGAGGACCGGTGGAGTTGCGGATAGCTGTTCGGATATCAAGAGCCGAAAGGTTGTGCGTTGGGTCAATAGTCTCCAGAGAGTTCCCAAAGACGGAATTAAAAATATAATAGATTCTAGCACCACCGCACAGCTCCTTCGTAGAAATCTCAGAGGAGGTTCCATCAATCGAAGAGATAAACGACGACGCAAATCGGGTCATGAGCTGAAGGATCAAGGAGCCGCGATGTTCCTTGCCGCTGAATTGTTTGTTTCCGTAGCTTGCCAATTCCTGTTGGGTTTGACCCATCAAAGTATTTAACCGTGCTTTGATATCTGGCAACCTATCCCGAATATGTGACATCAATGTTGTGTTTAAGCTTTTTGCTAGGAACTGAGTCCCGCAACGAGTAGCAATATTTCGATATGCCGGATGGTGTCTGAAAAAATCTGCTTCAGCAGCCAAAGCTTCTGACAACGATTTGCCCGACTGAATATCTTGTTGGGATCGATTGACCACCCCGATAAAACCCAGCTTCAAGGGATACACTCTTCCAGAAAGAATATCCATAGCATTTGTGCCGTGATCCATCAGGTCTAATTTGGTTAAAATTCCAATAGTTCTGCGGCCCATTGGATCGACGTGGCGGGCGAGTTTCAAGGCCTCAGAGTTCACAATGTCGACATTCGCAGGAGAGACGGCCAAAATAATGCTATTAGGCTTCGCAATATATTCAGAAATCAAATTGCGCGTCTGCTTTTCGATGTCTGACGGTTGGTCCCCGATGGGTACTTTGGTCAAACCCGGAAGATCCACGAGAGTTAAATTGAGGACATGTGATGAATATATCTTGAGGTTGATAGGTTGGCGATTGATTCCTTTGTTATTCCCAGCTATCCTGGCCGTTTCATTTTCAATTTCTTGTTTGACAAGGGCGAAGTCATCGTATTTCCTTCCAGGTTGATGGTGGAATTCCGCCCATTCCCTTAATCCACCAGCGCTGGATGGTGTATGGTCAGAAGTGTCATCCCGTTCGCTGGGGACGTTAATGAGCTGAAGAATTAACGGTCGTCTTGTAACGATGCCACTCCCCCGCGGCAAAAAATCTCTTCCGACAATGTTCTCAAGCACCGAAGACTTTCCAGAGGATTGTGAACCGACGACTACCTATCAAATCGGAGTTAGAACATGGAAATAATGCCAGTATAGAAGAATAAAATGCTCCCCTTGTATTTGATGCCATAATATCTTGGGGGGGGGGGGGGGGGGGGGAGGAGGTCAATATGGGACACATACAATCTGCGGCAGGTCCAGGGAATCGTTGCCAATAGTGTTGAATACTAAGTCCTGCAACTTGTTGACAGTGACCAACAGGTCATCTCCGAGAGAAGCCATGGTCGAAACTATGTTTACCGGGGATTTAATCCTCAGATTCCCGGTTTGCTGCACTTCCAAAGGTCGCTACTTATATAGCTATAGGCAGGGGGTGTTCTAAAATGGCAGCTTGGAATAGGAGTGATGGGGAGCCAAAGCAGAGGATCGATTTTTTTTTAAGGGACAAAAAGAATAGATATTGAAAGAGTGGTTAAAGGCCACGGTCTCTAAGTTGTCATGGACCGCAAACACGATTTCTGGAGGTGAAGATGATGTCGCGGGTACAATGATCAAATTCCAGCAGATGGATGTTTATCTCGAACCAGGTACAGCGAGGAAAAGTTCCACGTGACACAACCAATCAGGCCGAGGCTCTGCGCGCCAGTGAGCACCGTCCGCCCCTCCCATCACGTGATTCCGCGTACCGTGTACGACCCGGCTAGTGTACATTTTTGAATAAAAGATATAATAATTTATAAAATAATGTTGGGTGGATAATCAGATGTTAAATATAAATAAATAAATAAATAAAAATTGGTAGTTATTTACAAGAAATCTCATATTATTGATGCTTTTAAAGATTTAATTTGATTTATATAAATAAAATCCATAAAAAGGTTTTGAAGAATATTTTATCAAGTTATTTAAATAGATTAGCAATTACTTTAATTTTTCATTTTCTTCTTTTTATTCGAGAATTAATCTTTTATTTTAGCTTATTTTTATATATTCAGATTTTAAGATATAATGAGTGATTTTTTTTTTTAAAAAAAAAAAGAAAAAAAAAAACTTCAGAATTTCTATAGAAGCTATTAAAGCAAGCTTGGATTTTAATAAAAAGTTGACTTAATATAATATATATGACAAGAACCTAGTGGGGGGGCCAGGCTACCAGGCCCTTGGGCTGGAGGATTTGGCCCAGTGACATCCAAGTTCTCCAATGGCTCTACTACCAGCTGAAGATAGGGCATGCCCCCGTAGGAGCCCAGCTGCACTGAATAGGTGCCCGGGATTCCCCAAGATGTAGGGGGTGCTCTGGAGATCAAGTGACAGTAGCTTTACCTGCTCTTTAACTGCAGGCAGTGGCGGAGGCACTGGGGGATGCTGTATAACTAGAGCCTTAGATGAGGCCAAGGTCATCAGACCTGTGCCTACTGAGAACGCCGCTGAGGCCTGCCTCTTCGCAGATCCAAGAGTCACAAAAGCTCTACTGAGGTTTGTAGAGGTGGTTTGAGCACAAGAGGGTCAGGGGCAGGCAGCAGATGAGGCGCAGCAGAGAGATATTTGAGAGATAGAGGCTCTGGAGGAGGAGAAGCACAGAAGATGGTGTTGGTAAAGAGAGCAATTCATTTCTTAATAAATATGCTCAAATGTTAGTTATTACGAGGAGAAAAGCATCTGTGTATGGCCGCCATGAGCTCTTCTCAAAACAACCTACATAGCTGAGCAGCTAGAGGTGAGATATATATTTGAAGAGTGTCTGTCTGGAATACTACTATATTCCTGTTAGTGGGTTGAAAGGGGTATTTGCAAATATATAATATTGGTTTATTAACCGATCGGACGGCAAGTTCGGCGCTGTTTACGGGCTGCCTTTTTGCTCTCGACAACATTTTCTGCCATACAGGTTTGAGTAACTAGTTAACTGACATGCACGCACCACCCAATCACCATTGTGAATGAGCCCACATCACCCAAACATCCTCAGCACGACGGAACAATCGCAATCACCCTGACGTCCGGAATGTGGACTCCTACCCTCGTTCTTGGCCAACTGATGAGGCTGGCCTGCAAGCGATTCTCTGCCTCCTGAGCAGAGCCAGTTTTGCTGCTTGTCTCATATAACTACATGATTACCATTTCAAGGTTGTCGACTCACCAAACCTCTCTGGAATAATCGCAATTCACGCCTGGGTCCAGGTATGCGCCCTTACCCATTCTCGGCAGGAGAATGGCTCAAAGCCATCCTCTGCCTCTCCTGCGGAGAGGCGGCCTAATATCAATCAGTTATTCTTTCATTTTGGCTCTGCCTTACGCGCAATTTCTGTTTCTGTGCTTGTCTTTCTTGCTTGATATCTTGTCAAATCCACTTTATTTATAGTGCTTCCTGCCTTTCTCCTTGCGCTATTGAAGGCCTTGATCGTTGAAGCAGCCTCGGAGAAACCTACGCTGCCATGAGCGTTATTGTGCAGGTTTCAGATACACCCCCTGAACCTGATGATACCACTGGGAGCAATGTGTTCATTGATAGCGACTCTGACGGTTGCCTGGATGACTCTGACCTTAACACCGATGATGAAGCAGAGCAGTTATTGCGAATCCACAAGCAACCTCCGCCTCCGCCAGAGCAGTACCTCCAGGCGGAGGCAGACATTGATGTTTCACGTCTCCGGCAGCGCCGCTATTAGCTGGGACAACCATAAAAGGAAATGATCGTGCTTGTGATTATTGGGAACGGTTAGTTTTTCAGGCAGTTTCTATTGTGTCCCGCTGATATTGGCTTAGATACTGTGTCTATATCAAGCGAGATATATCATACGCCTTTGAAGCTCTCTCGGCTCCGTCGCTGAAAGTATTTCTCGGCTGGGCCTGTGACCAGCACTATGGGAAAGATGGTCAAAGGATACCAGGTATTGGGACTGTTAGCTCCCTAGAAACACTTTGGAAGCAGTATTCCCAAGTACACAAGGCCGACACCGGTCATCCCATTGATGATTTGGTCATCGCGCAGGCTCAAGGTGTGGTCGCCTTAGTTGCTGACGAGAAGAAACTAAGTCGGGAGAAAATGTCCAAAGGGGACCATGTATGTGAACGACCTTGATGAGTTCGTATACGTGATGTTGGCTACTACTGACATGCTATTCCTCATTGGATGGCTGCGGATCCAGCTGATATTGTTCTGTCATCTTGCTGGGATAGCGGGAAACCGGCCGGCAGCTCTGCTGGAACTCTGCTACCGACATCTTCAGTTAACCCTCATTCGCAATCCCTTGGAGGCACTCCACGACTGACCACTGAATTCACTGCTGAATTTACCAAGGGGTGCCTTGGAATGAAAGACCAGTATGAAGCTCTTTGCTGTCTGAATGGCTTCATCTGCTAACTTCTGTTGCAGGAACACATTTCGACTTCGGGAGATCATCTTTGATCCCACACTCATTCTTAGCCCTCATGCTTTCCTTCTTGGTATGCTATTTCACATCAAGGCCTTTAAATATTTGCTAATTACTGGTGCTGAGACACTCTATGACCTGGGAGTTCTTGAGGGCCTAAATCATCAGAAGGTGCCTCTCCGGAACAACCTCGATGACAAGTTTGTTTTTGGTCAAGCAGTACGCGAAGCCGATGCTGTCCATCTGTTCCATGAATTAAAGCTCAGCTCCTCATCAGTGAGGTACAGGATGAAAAAGGATGGAGCGATTACTGGGTTTGAGGTTATTACAAAGCCATACGGGTATACAGCCAAAGGCACTTAGTGAAAGCCATTAGTTGCTTTATGCCAACACATCTCACCAGCTCCCTTTTCTAATAAAGCACTCTGAACAGCTGATGACAGCAATTCACTCCAAAACTTGGTCCTTCAGCACTCCAGTATAGATACCGTTCTCAAGCACTATCTGGACCGCGATATCACCGTGGATGTCCTCAGCATCTACCGTGGTCTTGAACCCCAGTGGGAACTAATGCGACTAGCTTCTTCGATGAGCCCCAAGAAACTGATTTGCTGCTGCCCGCAAGCATTTGGACCTCAAGTTGGAACCTCAAGTTGGAACCTCAAGTTGGGCGTGAGCTGTGCTCCAACAAAGCGGTAGGATGACTTTGTTGACATTGTGGAGAGAGGCCTATCCGAGTGTACAATTTTGATGGGATCGCTCCACTAGAAAGGAAGAACCCGCTGAATGCGCCATGGGTAGCCTCTCCGTTGATGATTACCAACTATTGGTGTGTATGAATCAGGCTTTACAACGTCCCACTTTCTACATATCTGTTACTAGATCCCATCCTTCCGGCTCAGCATTCAGCCTTTTCTTTCAAGTTACCGTTCAATCCACTCGCAGAACAGCGGGACAATGGTAGTACCACCTGACTTTGGCTGGTCGGCTGGTGGTATCATTCAAGATATAAGAATTACCACCAAAATTATTCAAGCGTTCAGCTCAGCAAACGGTACCGTTGCTTAGTTTTCAGACTCAGAAGGGTTTCTTTGCATCCTCAAGTCTACACTGGAATCTCTCTCTAGTCCTTCAAAAATGAAGTTCCAGACGGAAAATATTCAGAAGACATAGATGAAACTTTACACCGGATTCAACTCCTGTTGAAGAAGGTTATTGCTTTTGTGGCAGGCTACAAACCCGCGTTCTCACAAAAATCCACAGGGCTATAAAGGCTTAGAAGCAAATTAAATGTTCAACTCAAGAGATGGATAAACTTTCTGGAAAAACTGCTGAATTGAAAAGTGAGATTGGTATACTATCAACCTTGTTGCACCCACTCCTTGTTTTACAAAGCTGATAAGTCGATATCTTTGGAACATCGTTCTTAGCTGTATACTAATCAACATTGGAGAGAAGTGAGATGTTGAAAAACAGAGTAGATGCTCTGGACCCACGGCAATAATTCATTTTCAAAATGCCATTATTAGACGAATCGACGACTTGAAAGCTGTTGTTGAAGGAAATGACGAAACTATTCGCACTGAAGCGCGATGCACTGTTATTATTAGTTACAGAGCAATTCCCTCTCTCGGCAATCATTATGTAAGGATGTGAGAGTGATCATCGTCGTTGGGATCCCTTGGCATTAAATAAAACGCGCTATTAGATGGGTTAACTAAGGACGTGATGGTCCTCAGACTTTGGATAACATAATACAGAGAACAATCTCGAACCACGCCAACAATATCTTGATGATTTATACGGATCATTGATATACTAATCAAATAACACTGGACGAGCTTGAGCATCTACTTGCACAGCAGGAACAAAATTGCAGAGTAGCAGGGCCCTCAAAGCCAACTTATTGGCATCAGCAGGCTTTATAGCTGGCACTATCTTTAACCTCATCCAGGAAACGCCTTCACTCTCCCTTCGTGACACCGTCCGCAGAGAGATTCCAATAGATGAAGACACAGGATCTAATCAAAAATTCAACTATAGATGACAACTTCTGCCCTACAGATGTTGCGAAGCTCATGATGAACGCCTGTCTTTGGAAAAGAGATACTGGCATGGGTAGTGTATATGTCTGAGAAGTGAATGTATTTTTCTCACGTCTGTGAGACGTGAACTCAGGCACCACATGAGAGCAGTTCACGATCTGGAGAGCCGCAACATATCGATCTTATATTTGCAGAAAAATAGTTGCCCAGAATGCTCTCTAAGAGCTCGAAATCTATTCAAGATAGGCTGATAAAGGTAGGCACGGGTTTAGTATTAATAAGGAGGTAATGGGGTGACATAACTGGTTAACAATCCATGAACTTAGAGCTGTCCGGTTTGTTTCCTTTCTCTTCTCTCTTTTATCTATTTTCTTCTCTCGTCTTTGACTAAGGGTCCGTCAGACTTCTTTGTTTCAATAAAACAGTCACACCCAGCGGCATTTCGAACAGATTAAATACACTGAGCAAGCCATTTGGAGCAAGCTGTATATATACAAAGGCAGCTTATTCAACACCAAACCATTCATCCTCTAGTTTCATGATCTCGAGGATTAAATCCCTGTTCTCTCTTGACACCTCTTTTGCTGAGATTCGCGCGAAAGGTTTCTGCTTTTCCGGTGGCAGAGATTGATGAATGTACGATAGGATGTTCAATGCCTCCACACCTGCAATTTCTTGGTAGGAAACGGGAAATGGGCCAAAGAATTGACATTGGGGCATAAGAATTTTGAGTTCATAGTCTTCATAGCCAAATGGGACGTCAGGTGTGAAGATGAAAAAGTTATCGCCGTACATCAAAACTCAAAAGCTACGAGGTGAATGAATGCATTAGTTCAATCCTCACTGCACGAGATATCGAATAATCTTCCGCTGACCAAAGCGCCAAAAGACCATATATTGGTCAGTGTACTGCATTCTATCTACAGATGGGCTTCAGGGCTGCGCCATATAGGCGCTCCGATTATATCATGGTGCTTTGCATATGCAGATTCAGCCGCACAGTGCCTCCCAAATCTGCCAACTGAACTTCGCTGAAGCGAATCTCTCCCTCCTGGCAGTTACTGAGAACACTGTCAGGCTTAACATCTGACAAAAATTTAGAGTTAGATACTGCGCACATTACATTTGCAATAATGAAAGGACGGGTTAATGATTTTAAATATATGTGTGTACAAAACCGTCGTCATGGAGTACCTTGAGTGCTTTAAGGATTCTTTTGGCAATGTATTTGACTTCGTGCGTGGTTAGTTTTCGCGAGGAGGATGCATTTAGGAGGTGATCATCCAAACGCTGTAGAACAATAGCTGGAATGTCTGATGGTTCGATGATCTCATCAAGCAGCGGTCGGATAAATGAGGTTCGGTCTTGGAAGCGATGAAGAACATCGCGTTCATTTTTCAGCCGGAAGTGTCGCACGCCTTTGATGACTACAGGTTGCTCGTTTTGGCTCCTTGCCTCGTTCAGCAACTTTGCTGTCATGAAGTTCTCAAGAATCACAGTGTCAGAAGCATGAGAAGTTGTTGAAGCTGAGAAGAACGTGAGAACAGAAGAGATGATTTCTGCAGTCTCAGATATGAGCTTTTTCTTTTCTTTTTTTTCCTTTCTTTTTTTTTCTTATTTTTATTTTGCCGCAGCAGATGTAGCAGCTGCTTCATATAATTTGCATCTAGAAGACACTGCTTCAATATTAATATCTTACTCTCTCTATCTAATAAACTGGGTAATACACTCACTGTTTAGAATCAGGAGGGAGTACATGACGTTGCAAGCCATACTCCCTCTTGAAGCTCTTTGGTAACTAATGGTGTAGCTACCACTTTTCCCTTTAAGAAGTCCGAGGCGGAACAGCGGGCCCGGCCATGTTGTTTCTAGGCCAGATGTCGGGTATGTGATGGGGGCGTTCAGTCGAAGATATCTTCTTATTGTTTGGTTCAAACGGAGCCAAACGCCATAGGAGAGACGCAACCGCGATTGTTCCAAGGTTCAGTTATAACTACTGGTAAATCGGCTAGTTAGCCAGTAATCGTGCCGCTGCGCAACCCACACCTCATGTGGGTGTGCCACACCAAAATGATAAAAACACCAAAATGATAAAAATCTTGCAATTTCATCATCTTCATCATCTTCATCAATTAATAACTCACCACAATGTCAAATAAGGATAAAAATATCAAAGACTGTATTCAAAAAGCTGTCACTTGCCATTAAAAAAACTCAAATTTTAAAATATTGTCTTTGTTATAAGAATTTGAGGTTTTTTATTAACATTTCTAAGTATATATCAATGAAAGGAATCTGAATAGTGCAAAGATTCCAGTTAACAAGAGATTAAATGAAAGTTAGAAGGATATGATTAAACAATAAGTCAAGCTGCTTGATGAAAAGAATTGTTCTTTCACAGTTGAATATATTGAAGATTTTGCAAATTCAATGCTCAGATGTTAGCATATAGATTCTACTACCTCTTCTTTAAAAGTCAGCAAGATGTGAACTTATAGGTTCATTGAACATCTATCTGACTATAAGAAGGTGAAACAGAAGTCAATGAATTCAAAGAAAGTAGCAGTTGAAGATATTGAATATATCAATATATGATTTGAACATCTTCAAATTCTATTTGAGCAGTATCAATTTCACATCTGTAACATATATAACTTTGATGAGATTGAATTTCAAGAAGAACAAGAACATGGAGAATAAATTATAACTACTTTTAAAAAAAGCTAATTTCATTATTACTTTATTTTTTTTTAAAAGATTTGATTACAGTTATTGAATATGCATTTATGAATAATCATATCATTTCATCATTGATAATCTTGATCTTCAAAACACATTTGAAGATTTGATATACACAGACAGATTTACTCAGCTATTATAGAATTGCTATATCAGATATTGAATTTACAAATGATGAGATTGAATTTAAATAACTCAAATATTTCAATACTACTATAGAAAAGAGACAGAACAGAAGTTATTATTTACATTTAATAAATAATCATAAATTTTATATCATTGAGAAGTTTATATAATATATGAATCTTCATAAGATAATTCTATATGAATTTTTATTATATATTACTTATTTACTATAATCTCTGAATAGTTTATCATTTCAGCATTATAAGTATTATTATTCAAAAGTAGTTAACTATACTGCATGTTATGATCTTGTTAAGTATGAAAAATAACAGTTTCTATAAGACCTCTCAGCTATATAAAAGTAGATCTTTAAATCTAATACAATAGCTGCAAATTAGACTCAAAATGACATATATTCATGGAATTCTGACTGAGTTTTTGATACTTTTAAGCAGCAAATCTTATCATCTTCTTCACTGCAGATTTATAAAGATAAGAATGATTTAAATCATATATTTATCTTTTTTTCTTAGTTATTCTCATTAAAGATAATTCAAAAGCTGAAACACTATATTAATATTGTGAAAAACACCATACAAAGTATGAGAGATACTCTTGATTTGAAATCACTTATCTTGACATATTGTTTGAACAAGATATTTAAAATAAGTTTAATTCATATAGAACTTAATGAGCAATAAATTACTGAATTAAAGAACTTTCTCAATGTTAGTAAATACCACAGAGCTAAAACAATTTATCATCAAGTTCAAGTAGGGGAAGTCCTTAATATTAAAGATGTTAATAGAAAAATCAAGCAGTGTAAGAATAATGAAGCTGAAAAAGAGCAGAATAAAAAGCAATGAAGGCTTGAAGTTGATCCCATGAAAATTGACAATAATCCACTCACATCACTGACAGAAGAGGAATTAAATTGATTTAGAGATGACACACATACTGAGAATGATGTAGATAATCTTTTTATTATAGATTAGCTACTGGTTGTTGATATAGAGTGCAATAATGAGGATGTGATTCAAGATTTTTATCATTTTGGTGTTTTTATCATTTTGGTGTGGCGCATCCACACGAGGTGTGGGTTGCGCAGCGGCACGATTAGTTTGTTAACTACATTAGTTAATGGAATAACTAATGTATTCGTATCCGAGGATTCTGGAAAACGGTGCTACTCCACCCCCGCACCGCTCTTGGGGTAACCATTGCCTCGAGCTAAGGAGGCTTGGGGCTTCGTCGGGTTCTTTCACCTCTCTTGATCCTAACTGCTATCAACATGCGGGATGCTGATTCCTAACGATAGGACCATGAGATTGTGCGCAGCAGCTTTTAGCGAACCCAATCGCCCTTTGCCTTGTTTGTAACTATGCCTGCTACTCCCTCTCACTGCTCTCCGATGGTGTCCAATGAGTCTCAAGACTTCTCGAGTTTCAAAGCTTCTAATTTGTGATGACTCTAAATCTTCCAGCGACTCTGGGTGTGTATGCCTGTGCTAATGGGCGACACGCCGAACATCTTTAGAGTCATTGACTTTGCCTCTCATTCCCCCAGGGGGCGTCAGAGGGGTTTGAAGGCCGCGATTCCTGAGCTCCCAATGCCGGAAACATCATCCATTCCTTTGTTTATATCTCGTTTTTACTCAGACTACATATTTTCCGACGTCTCCTGAGCAAGTACCCACAACAATATGTCTTGCAATAAAATCCTTTCCAAGAAAGTGGTTGACTCATTCACGAGGAATGGGATGCAAATTGCCATCTCGGTGGCTACGAGGACAACCCATTGGATACGGCCCGAGAGTTGCTGTTGATGCAGCAGCCATCCCATTTGCTGCTACTGTCAAAGACTTTACAGGAACCTTACCAGAAGGCACAGCGGATGTTTTGTGCAAGGTTGTTAGAATGTTCTGTTGTGCTTTCGAGGCTAATGTAAATGTAGGGGGAGCAAGCATGACAGCGCTGATCCAAGGGATCATTTCACCGGTGTAACTATGCAAAGGACGAGGTCCAAAGCGTCCATTTCCCCACCAAGAAGCAAGCTCTGTGCGTGTACATCCCGCTTCCCATAACCATAAACTGATTTTGTGCTGACTGCTGCTAGAGATTCTTGAGCAAATTGTCCTTTTTCAATATCGCCCGGGAGAAATGGTTACGAGTCCTAGCTGAAATGGTATAAAGATTTTGTTGAATAGCTTCCCGAGGTTTCAATTACTCCCAGGTACACAGAGCTATAGTTGGCAGAAGTGGACATGTCATCTTGAAAATGAGAGTCCTTCTGTGAGGGTTGTTACTAATTATTACAAGCATGAAAGTGAGCGAAGCAAGCGAATCGTTCTTGAGAGGGCTCGCTACAGCCTGATATATCACCAATCATGTGACAAATAAGGTGAATATTGTTGGACGTCTGAAGTGGTTGTATTGGTAGCCTATCTCAGGGATGCTATATACTATTGTGCGGTGCGCTAGTCCATAATAGGAAGCCTAGGCTCCAACAAATATCAACAACTGCAACTTCCACAACAGTATAACACTTGGATATGAACATTGACAGCGTGTGTAAGCAGGCCGCCCATTGATCACGTGATCTCTGATTCATAGTATTCTTTTTTTAGTCCTATATATTATATGACTAACTAACTGTAGTGAAGAGAAATGAAGTTTTGCAGCTCCTAGCTAGCTATTTTTAAGAGGTATAGATTAGCAGCAGTTGGATGATTATTTACAATATAAAACAGTTTGTACTTATAAACTCATATATCTATCCACATTGCCGTATCTCTTTTCTATCAAGATAGTGAATTTATGTCAATAAATGCAAAACAGTTTTAGCATCGATTAGAGTTTGCCTCTGAAATTACCCGCTAGTCAAAATACTACCCAAAATATATCAATTACGGCAGGTGAAAATTCAATTTCTATTAGTTAAAATTCTAATTATAGGTAAGTTTTATAATAAACTAAGTATATAGTTAGTTAACTAATGTATTTCCCAAGTGAGCGCAAACACTCAAGTGAGTGTAACATCAAAACCACCAGAGCTCAACTCATCATTAGATTTTAATTCAAATTATCTCAATGCTACAACACTCAATTAAATTAAATTAATTACATGCAGTTGAGAACATCTTAATCTTGTATAAGGGGTTGAACCCCTAGATTCGCTCTGGCTGGCTGACTCAGCCTAGCCATCGTTTGCACGTGCGCACGTGATCATGCTACGCGAGCTTGCTTAAGCTCGAGTTCTCGTCTCATTCTTTTCTTCCCTTTCTCAAGCAATTCGTCCTTGTTATATAGGAGGACTAGCCTCTAGTTCTTAGAGCTTAACCCTTCACATCTTGTATGTCTGAGAATATTACACTTGCTGCAGTGTTGTGAAGCTCATTAGCTTGAAGCAGATGCAAATAGTGAGAATTTATGAGATTAAATAACTGACTGTTTAACAAATGCTGCAGACTCTGCAGATGATGTAGATGAAGCTAGAAGACTTTGAACTTCTTCACTAGTTAAACCTTCTACTTCTTGTTGAATTTGATATTAAGATCTTTTGTATTTTTGCTTCTCTATTTATGTTAAATATATTTTGATATTACTTCTTTATAAATAGTGATACTGATCATTCTCATATTCACAGATTTTGATAATTTGATCAAAGCTTTTGCTTTGCTGTAGCACTCACTACTAGTAATAATCTTAGTAATGATACAAACTCTCATAGCAAATTCAGTCTCATCAAAGTTGTATATATCATCTGACAGAATCTTATACTTAGCAATTATATTCCTTAAAATTTTAAATCAATCATATATTATTCACTAATCTTTATACTTGATCTGTTCATGATAATAGTATCTGAAATAGCAGCTTTAGAGCTCTGGACAGTGTGCCATTAGATTTGACATCTAGTTCTTGCCAATGCAAAGAGGGGAGGTGGTGAAGATGATTGAATTCTGTATAGTAAAAAGATATTTAGCTGTATTCTCAATCAATGCTGACTGTGAGAAAAATTCTTATTTAATCTGATTTAGCACTCATTTAACTATCTTATCTTCTTCAGCAGAAGATAATTTGTATAAATTTGAATGTTAATTCATTCTTGATTGCCAGTCATTCAGTTGATAGATTAAAGTAGAATAAGAGATATTAAATAAGCAAACAGCTTTATGAATTGAAGATATTTCTTGATTTTTAAAAGCTTTTATCACAAGTTCAAATCTTTCCTCTCTTTCTAGAGAATCTGAAGCATTTTTATTGTGAATTGATGGCATAATTGCACATTGAAATGGAAGGGTAGTTAAATTAAAAGATATTTTAAATTGATGTTGCGCTCGCTTGAGTGTTGCATTCACTTGGAAAATACATTAGTTAGTTAACTAGTTAACTATTATTAATTAGTATAAAGATGTTTAACTAGTTAGTAGTTAACTTTCATTTTTATTGCTAATAATATAATTTATGTAAAAGAGAAATTCAGCTACTGTGAGCTCAATATTCCTGTTACTTAAATATAGTAGTAAGGTTTTTGAAGTTTGAAGGCAGTAAGGGTAAAATGTGCATTATAAAGTAAAATCACGTGCAGAGTAACCACACTTTTTTGAGTGAACACATTAGAATCGGCTTGAGAGAGCAATTTTAGACATCCTGGCAGCTTGCTCACATGCTTGAAAATTTCTCAGCTTGGCTCTAATGGCCTTTGATTTGGTGGGCACATTGAACTAATTTGGTCGGTTCAGGTGGTCATAAATTTAATGTCACTTACGTCAACCTGGGGCTATGACATCATATAACTCTCTCATCGGGAATCGTCTAAATACAGCTTCATGAACCTTGCAATGGTCTGATCATTATCAGGTTTAAACCTTTGGCGTATTAATGTCCTACTGTATAAACAATTTAAATTAGTTTCCCCTATGATCTGACGAGGCTGGAATTACTAGCATCAACAGTGACATACCCACTCTCTACACTACAAATTTCTCGGGGTTTATTTTCACCTCACTTACATTCTTTTGATTTCATATTTTGTCAACATTATCTAGATTAAAATCTTGCAGCATGATCAGATTCATTTTCTCTCTGATTGTGACGTGCTCAATTGCATCGGCCAAGTTGACCTTCAGCAGCTACCCTCAAGAAGTTATCCAGGAGGATGGAATACAAGTGGTCTCCCCAATCCGTGATGCGTGAGCTTACACACCTAGTTGACAATATGCTGCAAATGGGCCTCTAGTCCCTTGTCGCACATATAACAACGGCTTTAAACTAACTGATATTACCCTCTTCCTCTCCTATAGCTTGCTTAAAGCCTCTGTAATTCCTCATGGTTAGTTCCGAGCAGGAAGTATTGAGCCCTACCCAGACATTCCCCCTTAAACAAATGCTCACCACAAAACGCATAAATACAGTTCTCAGCGATTTTTATCCAACTTTCACTCTCTACATGGCCTACCCTGCAACCCACACCGTCACACGTTTAGGGAATAACGTCACGGCGAACGACACCTGGCACGAACCGGTCTTCGAATTCCACCGCTTAAGCCGCCCCCCGATGAGTCTGATGCCAGCGCTGCAAGCCGAAAATTTCTACACCCTCGCCCTCACAGACCCAGATTCAATGAACGTAGGAGGCACCAAGAGCGAAGTGTGCCACTGGATCGTAACCAATCTCACAAATATGGAACTCGCTCCAGAATACCATCCATTTGAATTAGATGACAAAGTCGATGACTACTCCCCTACTCCCATACGGACCTTCACTCCACAAGTCTTGGTACCATATCTTGCCCCAGAAAATGTAACTGATTCTCATCGCCTTGTCTTCGTGTTGTTAGAGGGTAACTCGTCTATGGCGAACAATGTAACTGTGCCGAAGGATAGGAAGGATTGGGGCTATGGTGAGCGCGGGCACGGGGTACAGAATTGGGCGTGGGAAAATGGGTTACATGTTGTGGGGGCTAATTTTTTTTATGTGTAAGACAATGGAGAGATGCCAATTAAAAATACCAATCAATAAGAACGATGATGAAATGGGTGAGGATTGATAAATTAGATTAGATTGGATCGGGTTATAATATTTGTACCTGGATTGGCTGCTCAAGATGGGGAGGGTGTCAATCAATCTACTCTCCATTTATGTCTCGCAGGTGTCTGACATGCTCAGTTGGTTTAGTCTTTGTTAGCAAGAAGGAACTAGATGTGTAGTTAATCAACGAAAATAATTTACTGGTTCATAAGTTGTCGATGACGCAGCTCCTGAAAACATATTCAAAATGATTCACCCTGCAAGTTTCAAGAAATGCTCATATATTTGCTCGCTACATAGCCGTCTCAGAATACTCGGTAAACGTAATTAGGCCGCATGGGAAGGTTGGTAACTTTTTGGGGACTATTGCATATCCTCCACAAAAAAGGCAGTTGGAATGTTTGCAGTCACCATCAGTCTTTGTAAAATCAAAAGGGCAACTTTGAAGTGAAGTCGACGAAATGCCAAAGTGAAAGGAAAAGAGAAACGAGCACACGAGGCAGTTGAAAGAATAAAAGAGAAAGGAAAAAGAAAAAGAAAAATGCAATGAATACCATTCTTTCACACTAATAATTAAACGGTCGCAGCCTTGATCTTCGATGCACAAGATACTTTCATAGCGCTTTAAGGAATTTCAGAATCAATTCAATTCAACATAGTTAGATGGGAATAGACCGCTTTGGCCATTGTATTCGCCATGCCACCAGTCCTCGTCGGGGAATTCCTACGTTGGGGAGTAACATGTTAGTTGATACGACATTGAACGGGCCAGAGAGACGACGGATTATGCATCGACAAAAGAAAAAGAACCAAAAAACCTACAATATTTGTGATCGTCGCTCCTTCAGGGAATCCTAGTTCATTATCCTCAGCAGCTTCGTAGTCATACTGTGCAGTTGCCGTCCGCCCAGTGGCGGGTGGATGCGCAGGGTCGGATCCCGATGCTGGCGCCAGTTGATTCGGTGTCGAGGCGACCTCGACATAGTTTTGAGGGAACAGTCCACGCTCCCCACGGGCATTGATACCCATCCACCAATCATCACTCACCATGTCGATCTCCATAACATATTCGCCCTCACACAGGTCAATTTCATTATCCTCCGTTTTCTCGTAATCATATACGACTAGGGCGCGAACAGAAGGACCAGATTTGGCTGCTGGTTCGGGATGATGTTCGGATGCAGAGGCTTGGGCGACGGCGCGGGCTTCGTCGTGATTACGCTCATCGTCCAGATCTTCTTCGCGTGGAACTTGCTGCTCAAGCGAGCGGATCGGTAGAGCAGTTGGGGGAGAATACTGCTCCTCGTGCGCATCGGGCACCTTCTCATTTGCGGATCCCATACCTACCGGCAGAGCAATTCGAATGGGAGAACTTGGTTGAGCAAAGGCGGGAGATTCTGGAGTTGGGGAGCGTGGTTGCTGGGGCGGGGTGGGTACTTCCTGGTGTTGATCTTCGTGTGGTTCTTCAGGTTCAGTGGGTTGAAGTGGCGGTACAGAATTAGGTACGTCGCGAGCTGCACTTGGCTTACTGGTGGTATCTAAGGCTGGCGGGGACGGTGCAGAACGCTCGTAGGGGAACTCTGGTGCGGCAGCGCCCATTGGAGGGGCATTCACGAAACGATCCCGGATGAAACCCACACCTCCACGTGGGACATCCTCTGGTTCTTCTTTGGGGTTTTGGGGAGTACTGGATCTCCCATGTTCGCTACCCGAATATTGATGGGCTATACCACCGCTACCCGTGTGTGTAGTTTTAACCGGTTCCCAAGATTTGCCAGCGTAAGAACTTTTCCATCCACCTCCGCCGCTGGACTGGCTTTGCAGTGGCTGTTGAATGCCGGTGGACGGAGTCTCACTCCCCACTGCACCACCCCTCTCCCGTGCTTTATTTTCAGCCCACAGTTGAGCTGGTGTCTTCCCTCCTTGATCCGCAAATGTTCGACTTGCACCTGACACGGTAGTAGCGTTCGCGGTTGGAGTTGCCTCGAATCCACCAGGAACTGGAGCTTTGGTACCAGTGAAAGCGGAAGCGACTGTAAATCTATTGGCAACTTTTGGTTTAGGAAGACTTGTTAACCTGACCCCGGAAGAGAATGCAGCAGACCGTTCAACGATGTTTCTCCGTTCCTCACTACCAGTGGAATCTCCAGTGACCACTGGAGGTGTAAATTTTACTGGCGCCCGTGGCCCTTCAGATTGGCCCTGCGCCCTGGCTCGAATCGCAGCAATATCCACCTTTCCGACGGGTTCGTATGCTCCTTTCACTGGTTCAGGACGATCATCTTGAGACTGACCGGACTCACGCGCCTGGCGACGAATGGCAGCGATGTCAACTTTTCCAATTGGTTGATAATCACCTTTTACGATGTCGCAGGAAGAATTATCCTCCAAAGGACGAGGAGCGATATTTGATGTGTGCGATTCCTGGGATATGAGCTCCTGCATGTTAACCTTGGTTGGCTGATATGCCGGTTTGACCTTCTCGAGTTGCGTTCTTGTAACCGGTGGCGCATCTTCTCCCCATCCATCATCATCTACCCTCTGCTCTCCGTGTGAACTCTTAGGGTGAGTTGCACCCAGGGGCTTGAAGTTTGAACCGGTCCTTGCGGGGTTAAAAACTGTTTTGGATGCGACAGGTTGTTTGGAGGCGGCGCTGAAGGTTGCTGGAGAATCTCCTACGGAGTACTTTGCACCAGATGAATCTGCAACTTTCTGTACAATACTTTCTGGGGTTAGATCACGATCCGATCGAGCGGTAATTTGGACATGGTATCCCTGGATATAAATTAGCAAACAAAGACCATAGAAACGAGGGAACGATGGATGGCAGTTCGCACATGTAAAACCTTAGACACGGCAGCTAGATGGCTTGTAAAATATCCCTTTGTTCTTTCTGGGACTCCCTCACCACACCAGCCAATAAGAACGTTTTTCGGAAGTCCGGTATTTGGATCTTTGACCTTCACGTAGGCGAATTGTATTTTCCCATCAGAGAAATCCTCAATAAGGTCTTCTAGTTCTCCCTCTATTACAATCTGTTAGCAATCAGGATACGTTCACTTTGATATGGGCCGCAATGACAGTAACAAACCTCCGCTGCTCTGGACCTTCAAGACGCTTTCCTTCCCTGCATTATCTTGTTGAAATGCATTGACTAGAGGTGTGGATACGGCAAATATGGCCCACTGTCCATATGTTGGCGAGGCAGCGGCAGGTCCCGTTGGAACTGAGGCTTCGACCACAGCCCAATAGCTTTTCGAGATGGTTGGTCCATTAGTGGACAAGTTTAAAGTAGCCATGATGGAAGTTGAAGGAGGCGTTAATGTAACGGGTGGAGACTCAGGGTAACCGAGCAACGATCAACGCAACCCGTGATGAATTGGTAGCCTGTCGTCAAGGTAATGACAGCATGTCAGCCAATGTCCCGGGCTTTTGGGGTGTAATTAGGAGAAATTCATACGTATAAGTTTTCCTAGACGGAGTGTATAATAGATGATGTAATATAGGGACTAATGAACCGCCAGTACATCAGAATACCAGTCAATCAATCTAATAGAATCTGCTCTTCAACAGGGTGGATATAGGTTCGAGAATGAGAGGGTGTTTGTTCACTTCGGATACGGTGTAAAAGGATCGAACAGGAATGCCTAATTGTGGCTCTTAACTAGATCGTGGCGGTAGAGAAACGCTGTAGAAATTCGCAGCTAAATGTCGTATATGAAGAGAAAAGGGACGACAAGAGGCAGAAGGTCAACAAATCGTGCAAATCTTTATATTCTCAGCAGGTGTAAATCCAAAAATTGAATGTATTGTTTGTCTTGTGTCCATTCACACACCTCAGTGGGACACTTCCAAGCCATAATTATGATGAGTCAGCAGATTAAACGTGGCGGTGCAAACAAGTCTGGCCAATGAAAAGCGAGTAGAGCTCGTTGGTGGCTGAGTGATTGAGGAAAATGTGATTGTGTATCGTATCACGTAACTAATAAGCTAATGAACTTCAACCACCGAGCGGCGGATTCTCTCTGGAAATCATCAATATACAACTCAACCAACTATCTTCAACATATCATTTCTCCCATATGTTTGATTCAAAATGTCCTTATCTCAAGAATCTCACATACAGTTGACCATTGCTGCATATAAATCAATATATATATCAAAGATGAAAGCTGCAAAGAGATTTCTAAAACCACTTTGCACAAACAGCTTGCTAATATCAAATCATACTCAGAAACAATCACAAATGATCACAAATTGACAGAGATTGAAGAGATTATTTTTCTCAAGCAATTACTGAATGCAGACAAATGACACCTTTCCAACTGATTAGAGTTTCTGCATGAAATGATAGATTTTACTTCAAGCATGTTTTTTTAATTTTATTATTATATTCAAAGTTAACTAAATATCTAGATTTATTTAACATCATTCTCAGTTATATATACATTATAATTGCTATATATTCTATTAACAAATAAAATAGAAAAATTAAATGATTATAAAATAATAATTAAAGATGATATATAAAACTATTTAAAAATTTAAAATTTATTAAAATAATATTTAAAACTTTAATAATATTAATTTTATAATAAGATTTTATATTATTTTTAAAATTAATATTATAATTAAATATAAAAAAAATTACATAATTTTATAAAAAATTTAAAAATTTAAATATTAAAAATTATTTTTTTCTCAAAATTAAAAAATAATTATAAATATTATATTATAAATATTTTTTAATAAATATAAAATAATAATTTATTTATAATAATTATAATAGTTATTTAACTATAAAATTTAGTAAATTTTATAAAAATAATATATTTATTTATTTTTATATATCTATTTATATATTTTATTTTTTAAGTATTAAATATTAATATTTTTAAATAATATATATATATAAATAAATCTAACCAAAGAAATAATAGTTGTAAAAAATAATTATATTAATAAAAATAATTTTTTATTTGTCAACAGCTATCATGGCTTAGTCTAGAGGCATGATGATAACAAGACAAAAGCTCAATTCATCTATCTACTAGGTAGCTGCGACGAAAATACTAAACTGGGGATTAGAATATGAGAATGAACGAGCAGCCGAATATATTAGGCGGTTGAGGATCGGAGCGGATCAACCTAAGTAACTGAATATGATTGGGGATCAGAAAGGATCAACCTAAGCAACCAAATATGGTTGAGGTCAGACGGATCAACCTTATACCATATTACCAGCGACTGCGCCGTAACAACAGCCTTATTATTCATCTTGACAATTTAATTAAAATAAATAAAGTACATAAAACTAAGGTAACTACTTTGAAACTTATATCAATGATTTGTATGGACATTATAAGTGCTAAAGTGCTAATGATAATCTGAATTGACATTTCTTCAAAAGTATTTTATAATTTGCTTCAAGTTATTCTACTTCGATGAAGCAGAAATATTCGAGGCATCGTGCTATAGTTAGTATTCCGCCAGGCCGCTGTGCACACTGCTGCTGGTATTTGTTATATATCTTCCTTTACTCATCTACTTCATAGCTAGCAATTCTTTTTCTTCTTAACCAACCTATCTTTACACGTATACAAGAGCTTTTCGCTACCATCGCAGTTGGGATCTTCCAAGGACAAGGCTTTAATACCCAAGCCACGTGCCTGAAGTTTCTTGCGGCTTCTGATTGGCTGCAAAAGTGAAGCGTGGTTCGATTTCACCCCACCAGAGCTAAACTATTTTGGGAAAATTTTTTCAGCCTCCATCACCATCCCCGTTTCCAATCTCCATCGACAACAACGCATCGCGTCAATCCAACAACATATTTTCCATCCACTATCACCTCTATACCCATTATCTGTTAGCCTTATCCCCAAGTGTAGCGTGGCTGTTAGCTACATTTATTACCCATTCTGTGTTATTGCTGCACCGTTACTCTTTGCGCGCCTTCGCGCGCTTTCTGTACACTTTTCAAAGGCCTTTCGATAAATTCACTAGTTGCTTTATCTTCCTCTCTGTGTATTTCTAGAGAATCACATCTTGCTCGAGTTGTGATCTCCTGGCTACTGTATTCTATCCCGTAAGGCGCGCTCATGTGCCGTCTTCTATTGCTTCTTTCGATCTTAAACTCTTTGATGGTGCTTCCTTGATACCGGTTCCTGGCTTGCCAACTCATTTTTTTCTCTCCTGTTTTCGTCTCTGGCCAACCTTCTCCCAAAGGGGATCTATCCAAGTGTTCTTGGACCGGCTGACGCGTACTCGGATTGGTTTCTGTCATTCTTTTCTTTTGGCTCTTGGTGACTTTAAATGGACATTTCTCGTTGTGTCTACTTGATTCACCTGTGAGCACATTGTCTTTCTACGCCTCCTCTCCCCCGTTCGGAGGACTCATTTGCCTAGGATTTTGATTATTTTTATCCTTCTTCACGTTTCATTTTTGCCAATCGCACCTGTACCACAGGATTTTGGTATCTATGTCAGAAACCACATCCACGCCCAGCAGTACCGGGTCGTCATTTAATCCTTACACAGACGGTGCTGCCATGGAGCAAGGCCATTCGACTCATCAGCCTAGAGGCTCAACAAATGATTTAAATGCTTCCGATAGCTTTCAGCAACATCACTCTACGGATCCCGATGTGGCAATTAATCATGTGTCTAACACCAAAGCCACGAATATTGCAGCGGCCCCCAACTTTCTTGATGAACGCGGCAATCAAAATCATACTCCAATGCTGAAACGGAAGCGGTCGACAAATGACCTTCAAATGTCCATGGACTCCAGCAACCAATATTCTATCGAAAGTCTTACCAGACGTGACGACACTCCTAGAATGGAACCCGTTCGTGAGTCACATTCAACTGCATTTTCTCAGGATAGCAACAAACGTGTAAAATCCAACCCGCTCAATGGGTCATGCGTTCTTCCCCCAGGGAAGACACATATACAGTCAGCCACTTCTTTCGATGGATCTCTATTGCCGGGAGAAGTATGGCAGCATATCTTCACATTTCTTCCGCCTACCTCACTAGGTCGCGTCTTATGTGTGAACAAGGCCTTCAAGTCCCTTCTCACTCCAAGTGAGTCGGAGTTGCCCGATTTCCCTCAAACGTCGGGAGTGTTAAAGTATCTAATCCCTAATTTAATCTGGTCTGTTTCTCGGAGAGCCTTTTATCCGGGAATGCCACGCCCACTGTCTTTCCTTACGGAGTTGGAAATGTGGAGACTTGTCTATGGAAATACTTGTCAGTTCTGTGGAAAGTCTAGTTCCAGTTCATCCTTAACCGATAATACAATATGGGAAGCCGGGCCAGGTCTTGGTGGAGTTCGTATTATTTGGCCTTTCGGGATTCGAGCTTGTGGTGAATGTATCAAGTCCAAATCTGAAAAGGTTCATCTACTTCCTCCCAAACATTTTATTTGATATTTGCACTAACACGGTATTAGGAAATGGATCTTTTATTCTCTTCACTTCTGCCATCCGTACTAATTCCATCTCTCCCCTTTGCGTTTTTTACCCCGTCAATGCATTTTGCTTCCTCAGTAACTTTGCGCAACAATCAGCCGCCCACTGACATGATCCTGACTAAATACTTTTACAAACCCCATGTCGATGACATGAGGCGTAAATTTGAGGACGTTAAATCGCTTGGCCCTGCCGCAACTGAGGAGTGGATCAAGGGCCTTGAAGGCAATGGCAAGGACAAGCTTGCTGATGTTGCTCGCTTAGAACAATGGGAAGCATCAGGTGGTCTTCGATCCATTCGGCTTACTCGAACCCATCACAGCGAAGCCCCTTTGCGGCCCTCTTCCCTGGATTTGGGTGTGAGAAATCAACCTATAGACATGATGACTACTGGGTATTCTGGACAATCTACTCCACTCACCAATGACAAATCTATCAACGGCCAGAGTAGTCCCGCTACTCTTTCACATACTTCTGGTAAGCATTACGGGGCCCGCACCTGACATGAAAATTTGATTTTAGTGAAGTTGATTTCTTATGTGCCCTTTCAAGCTCTTTCCCCCTGCTTCAATTTCAGAACTATTTCATTCTATCAACATATGAAAGGTTTACTTACTAATTCTAATCATCCAGGTTCTAAACTTCCCCCACGCCCAATGAGTCCTGATTCAAGTCAACCTTTATCGTCCTCAAACTCGGCGCATCACCCACGGACTGAACGTAGCCTCCGAGAAGTCAATGAAGCAAAGGCAAGTCGCAAAGCCGAAATAGAGCGGCGCTGTTTGGATCTCGTACCACCTCTGACACCTGCTGTTCTGAGCCATATG